GATCTGCACATGAACATGAACTTGCAGAGCTAGAATTTCCATAGCTATGGTTCCTTACAATGCACAATAGTTTTACTTGCAAGTTTATGCCCGAGGGCTAATTGCAACATGAAGCAATGTATAGAAAAAGTATATAGACAGTACAAGTTAACAATGGTGACAAGTGGAACAAGTGACTATTCTAAGAACTGCTATATTTATTTATTTATTGTTTGACTCAGGCAAAGCCCATATACAACGTTGACAACACAAAATACATAAATTTAAAAATACGGTGTCTGGGATAAAAGAAACGGGGCCTATTTAAGGTCTGCATACCAGCTGGCAGTACCTACGCCAGAACTGACTTCTGGGGAAGGCATCAGAGCGTAAGAGCAAACTGATGATGCCGTTACCGGACGCCAGGAGGCGAGCCGCAAAAGAGTGCGTCAGCTTTCGCCTCCTGGCGTCGAAGGTGTCGACACCCAACTGGGCAAAGAACAAACTGTTACTGGTGGAGCGAGGCTGAGACATAATGATTTTGAAAGCATCATGGTAAGCCATATAGAATACCATCTATGCTTTTTTCAGGGAGGTTGACTTCTTTTTAGGAATCAGTGGAATTGGAAGACAAAGTGTCCCACATTCTCTGCAATGAGTGGTTTTTTACAATAATACATCAGGCAACGCCAGTTCAGTTTGTTGCTTCTCAGTTGCTTCTCAGTTGCTTTTCCCTGCTGCCTAACCCAATAATCAATACAAATTTGGTATCAAAGGGTTACTTCAGCATGACAAAGGTTAAAAAGAATAATGATGAACTCAAAAAGCAATATAAAATGAGTAAATGTCGTAGAATAAATATATTTAAGTAGATTTTTACTATAAAACTGTCCAAACACCAAGGAAATGAATTGGTGGCGCCTTATACTCTACTAAGCAATGGTCACTAAACCAAAGGGCAGACATATCACTTAGGAGGCAGCAACAGAAGAGAGACTCTTACTAAAATTGCAACCTCTTAGCCCTTTGGCAAAGTCAATGTTCGGTGAGTAATGTACCTGTCAGCCATACTGTCTGGTATTAGTGTTATTACCAACATTAGCTCCGGCAGCGTGATAGATTTCAGTGTAAGAAATGATTTGAACAATAAGTCTGTTCCATGGAGGATACGTGACATTGGTGCAAAAATAATGTCAGCTAGAACGTGGAAAAAAAAAAAAATTTAGAATTTACAAGACTTCACATAAAAGGTTGTCAGAAATATGACTTACTCCAAGATGAACGGATTCAGAAATAACTGAAATTTGGGAATAGTTTCATCGGGTTGGTAAGTTACTGAATAAATCTTTTTACACAACCATGTGTTTTATTCTGTGACAGGTGGAAAAAGAGTCTCTTTATTTAACTGAAATTTGCATTGTAAAAAGCTTTATCTTTTTCAGCTTTCTCCACCAGTATTTTCCAAAGTTCTCCCAATCAATATGAGGCATCTTCCTTCAGAAGTCAATTAACTTTAAAGATAACCACAAACATTTTTTATGATTCTTAATAAATCATGTTTCCCTTGTAGTGGCTGCAATTTCTTTCATCTTCCTCCCTCGAAACAAGAACTGACAAATCAAATTGGCGTGGCCTAAATAGCAAAATCCTCACATGCCAGCCAGTTGATTATGATCACTTGTGCCACATTACCTCATTAAATAATCACTACAAGATCTGGCGTAACCCACCCTGGTGTACCACCCTGGTGTACCACGTTGGGAATACCGCTAAGCCGGACTAACGTAATTAACATTGACAGGATCTTCCTGCAACGGCCTTGATAAAGACAGGCAAAATTAACAACCAGGATGGCCCTCTGTCTTCTTTTGTTGTGTTCTGTCATGAGTGATTAATCGGTTAGGCCACAACAATTTAATTTCTTTGTTCTCGGCTTTTAAAACAACATGCTTATCTGATAATTGGTTGTCGGATTTTCAAAACAATATGGCGCTTATCTGGAAAAATATAATGATAACATATCCTGATGCTTATGCCTTGGTGCATAACATTTTATGGATAGAATACAGTAAAGTTTTCCTCTCTGCCCTCTGCTTCTGTGATGTCTGTTTGCTATATTTTCACCTTGACATATCTGACAACCAAGGAAATACATTGGTGTCGCTGAAAATGAGAGCAGTTTGGGATAGGAGAGAAATTGCGAGGGATGATACTAATCATAACTCGTGGATGTGTAATTGCATTTTGGGCTGTTCGTCATTGACAGCATACATACATGAATTCCAGAGGATGTCGATACGTGTTTGAGGTCAATCACAATACAAAGGAAACAGACAAGTCAACAACTTCCTGTATTATCTACCCAAGGTGTTTACAAATTCATTATTTCCTGGAACTGTACTACCGGAGGTAGTACTAGTAGTACAGGTAGATTGCTATCAAGTAAAGTAAGGGTTTTTTTCAGTCAACTTGTATGCTTGGATCCATAGTTATACACTGTACATACAGGCTAAGGATGGCTTAGACGATGCAGTCATTTGACATAACTCACTCACTCCTGTCACATTCTTGTGAGGCTAATTCATTACACCATGTATCCTGCTTGAAACAGACACTGAATACAGATACAGATACAGATAGAGATACAGGAAAGTGTAATGTGAAATGAACCATGTCCTAAACTGAAAAGAGACACACATTATCCCTTTCACCACAGTCGTGGCCAATTCATTCCTGCAGGTCCATTTTCTGATGTCTTATCAACTCCAGTGGCTATTTTACCCCAGCAATACAACACAGAAAACGATGCATCTTCTCTTTTCGAATCAAAGCGGCATTTTTTCCTGGACCCAGACTCACTCCGAACCTCCTCACTACCCTTCTATCTTATCTGTAGGAGCTTTCCACGAGTCCATTCAGCAAACCTGACTTTGAAGTTAGCCATTACGCTTGCAGCATGAGTACTTTTGCCATACATAGTAAATCATAGATAGTAAAAGGGCAAGTATTGCCTAGGGGGAGAGGGCAAGGTTATAGGGTGATATGCAATGCCAGGGCTCAAAATACTTTCTTCTGCATTCAAAATTTCCTCGACAAGTGTTTAACTTGCTTTTTCATACCCTTTAACTTTATAGTCCAATAAGATGTTCCTAACACATCATAAATCTTACCTCTCTTGTTAATTTGTATGTAAGGATTTACAAAGTAAATGGAGGAGGGCAGTTTGGGAGCAAAGAAAGGAGCCTACTACTAGTACTAGTACAGGTTAGGTGTATGTAGACATCAGAAATACCTGCACAGCTCCAGTTTCACCTGCACTAACCTACTTATACAGCTGGTATTTCCAGCCACAAATGCTCTTTTTTTCAACATTGTTGCTGCCAAGATCACAAAGAAAGATCTAAATTATTTGTGGCTTAGATTCTCAAGTTATCACAGAGGGTGGTTTTGCTAAATGGGTAAATCTCGCCAGTGGACTTGCCTGGCTTATGTCTAATTAGGTTTTCTCCACAGACAGGGTGTGAGGTAATATTATTGTTTCTCTCTTTAATTTAAAAAGGATTAAAAGATATTCTGCTCATAATAACTGACAAATGGACTTACAAACATCACAATAGGGCAGCGTCGGTGGCAATTAGCCTGGGGGTTAGCTGAAAAGTGGACCATAGATGATAAAAGTGTTGTTTTCTTAAAACATGCAATATTGTTTTAGTTTCTCTAACTCATTTAGCACAGATTGCTGCTTCCATAACAACTGATGCGGGGATACTGCAAATAATATATACAAAGCATATGAGAAAGAATATAGCCTGGGGCTAGGCAAAAAGTGGATTATAGAACTGTTATTTTTGCACAAAACCATGCAATAATGTTTTAGAATGGACTCTACTCTCTCTGATTCATTTAGAAAAAATTATGGGTAAAATTTTGTCATAACAACTAACAAATACATACAGTATGACAAAGATAGTACATCATTAAGATTAAGATATAACTACCTGTCGGCATCACACAGACATATTGGTGGGCTTGTATAATTATGCTGACTCACACAGGGCAGGGCCTAAAACCTAATTACTAGCACTAACATTACTGAATCTGAAATTAAGTTTTTAGTTTTACTTTTTTTAGACATGTGTAGACATGTTTAGACATATTTAACCTTATACAAATATCCAGTGCACTCACAGTCAGTGAGAAATTTAAAAAGAAGATGAGAAAGTGAGAAAGTGCATATTGCACCCAGCATTTCTCCTTCAGTTGGTATTTCCAACCTAGCAGGGTGACAAGTTACTGATAGTTGCCAGTATCAATGGGAATTCTCTGAAGTGTTACCAAGAAACTGCATATGACACCTGATCTACCAACCAACTTCTGACCATATAAAACCCTGCAATAAACTGTCAATACGGCTGTCACTTCTCATCTCTTCCCTCTCGAGCTTAAGCGCAGGAAACCGTTTGGCAGAGACTTGTGCACATTTACTGCACTCGCAAGGCGTGACGTTATACCTCCAGTCGGGAGACAACTGTCAACCATGGTTCGGAAAGCAGTCAATAACAACGCCAGGCCGAGGGCCGGGGGTTAGGGAAGCTGGCATGGACCATTAGCCAGACGTCAAAGCAGACAGGGCAGACAAGAGAGCGGGAAAGTTCCAAGGTGTAAACCGTCAGCTGCTGTCAGAGCATCAAATGTGGATTTTTATGCAGGATGCTCTTTGAATCTCATCTTGGCTCAGTACACGAGTGTGGCTGACTTTGAGGTGGAAAAGAGCTAATTTCCTGTGATGCCTCTCACAAGTTTGATCTAAGTTAGAACCAAGTTTGCAAACTGAAATATCTACTAACTAACTATGATGGCACCAAGGCTGAGCTGACAACCTTGTCCCATTTGACAACAAGCCACAACAAAGAAGATGCTCTGTCCTAGAAACCTGTCAGTACAACCTACTTAGTCTACAATACACGACAACTCTGTATTCAAGGGAAGTTTCTTGAAAGAAGGACAATCATAAGTCTTACCTCATCTTCACACGATGCCTCCGGTCCTTCCTTCCGCTCTGCTCCTGATCCCGACTCATCCGTCTCGCTCTCCGCTCCTACAGGCTGCTCCTTCTTTGTCAGGTTCTTAACTTTTGGAGGGTCCTTCTTAAGGAGTTTGGACTCCGAGTCTGGCGGGGAGGTTTCCGTGAGCGAACCCGGACTTGAACTCTCTTGTCCGTCGGGTTCTTCTTTGATGATGTCATTGTAGTCCATTTTATGCGCTGCCTCATTTACAGTCACCACAATTTCTCTGTGACTCGTGTTTCGTTTCCTCCCGCTGCCTCTGCCTGCAGAGTTCCTCTGTTGCGAGGCCATCACCTGTTTTTCGGCGTTGTTGTACGTCCTCTCGTCTTTGTTTCTGCGCCGGCATTTGAGGATGACCACGACCACGATGGACACCAGCAGAACGAGAGCACAGCTCAGCGCGATCACGATGATGATCGGGATGCTGAAGCCGTCGTCTTTTGGTCGGGTGTTGGCAATGTTAAACCTGTTCCAGTCTGTAACGTTTGCTGGGAGTAGGTCCCCACCAATCATAGTGGAGCCGTTATAAACGGCGTCACTCAGGAAGATGTTGAGGAGGGTGGTTGCCGAGGTGGGCGTGGCACCATGGTCTGTTACCATGACAGTCAGGGTGTACAGCCCCGCCCAGTCAGGCCTGATCAGTTTCACAGTCCTGATATCCCCCAGCTCAGAGATGACAAAAATGCCCAAACGGTTGCCATTAGTGATAGAATAGGACAGTTCCCCATTCGGCCCCTCATCCCAATCCACTGCCTGGATGCTGGTTGCTAGGTAACCGACCGGAGCGGTGAGGGGCACATACACTACATTCCTCCTGTCGTTAGGGAAGGTGATTTCAGGTTTGTTGTCATTTTCGTCTTGGACAAAGACCCTGACCAAACAAGTGTCACTCATCTGTGGCACCCCCCTGTCACGAACTTCAACAATCAACTCATATTGTCTCACCTGCTCATAATCCAGCTTGTCTGCCGTGTACAGGACTCCACTCTCCGGGTTTATGGAGAATTTCCCCTCCTCGTTCCCCTGTATGATTCTGTACCGCCGTTCGGCATTCCTTCCCATGTCTAAATCAGTGGATACAACAGTACCTACAGAAGTCCCCACCGCTACAGATTCGGTGATGTAGAAAGGGTACATGGGTTCCGTGAAGGCGGGAGCGTTGTCATTTTTGTCCGTAATCCTGATGGTGACAAGTACGGACCCCATACGGGAGGGCACCCCTCCGTCCCGCGCCACCATGGTAAACTGGATAACCTCACGGAGTTCCCGGTCTATTACCTCGTTCACGATGATGTTACCGTTCTCTGGGTCCACGTAGACGGTCTGGTCGCCGTCGCTGGTGGAGTAGACGACCTGGCCGTTCGCTCCCTGGTCCGGGTCGGTGGCGGTGGTCCGTCCCCACGTACGTGCCCCGCTTCTCCTTCTTCCGCTAGCTCAAACTCCAACCGGTCGGTCCCAAAATCCGGCGCGTTATCGCTCACATCCATGAGGATGATATCGAAGGATTTGTAGGACACCCCGTGGCGGCCGCCCGGCGTCTTTTGCTATGACAGTCACGTTGTACGTCGGTAACGTCTCTCTGTCTAGTTTTGCCGACGTGACAATAAGGTACTGGCCGTCACCTTGCGGGACAGTTTTGAGTCTGAAATGTTTATTCGCGCCGTCTAGTGTCACGTTCACTCGCCCGTTTCTCCCTCCATCTCGGTCTGAGACCATGAGATACGCCAGAAACGTATCGACCGGGACGTCTTCGGAGAGATATACCGGCCCTTCGGACGAGGTGACAAAGTTCAGGGTCACCAGGGGCGCGTTGTCGTTTGTGTCGCCGACGTTGACGAGGACCGTCGCGAAGGTTGGTGCGGAGTTGACGCCCCTGTCTCGGGCCTGCACCGTGAGCTGGAAAACTCTCCCCGCCGCCGACTCTCGGTCTAACGGGGCGTTAGTCGTCATTCTGCCCGTTATCGGGTCCAAGGCGAACAGCGCGAGAAGAGAGTCTGACATGGAGTTACTGAAAGAATACACAACTTCTCCGTTCGTTCCCTCGTCTGGATCGGTAGCGTTCAGATCCAAAACAAGCGTTCCGACGGGCGTGTTTTCCATGATGTCCACTGAGTAGCTCTCCTCCTCGAAGACCGGGCTGTTGTCGTTTGTGTCCAAGATGTTGACCTCCAGAACTTGGCTGTCGTAGCGCCGCGGGTTGCCGCCGTCGTACGCGGTGAGGACGAGGCGGTATTTGGGGTTCGTCTCCCGGTCCAAGGCCTGCGCTACCACCAGTTCCACGTTCTTACTCCCGTCCACGCCATCGAAGATATTGATGTCGAACGGCGCGTGGTCGGCTGTGGTCTGCAGGCTGTAAGTCTGAACGGAGAACCGCTCCGAGTCCAGATCCGTAGCGCTGTCGAGCGGCACGCGGGTGTTCACTGCGGTCGCCTCCGAGAGATCTAAGGTGACCTGATTGCTGCGGAAGCGCGGCGTGTTGTCGTTCTGATCCTCCACCGTGATCCGTACTTGAATTAGCTGAAAGAACTGTTTTGGCAGCATGGCCACTTCCAGCCCCACCTCGCAGACCTGCGCCCGCGGGCACAGCACGTCCCGGTCGATCCGCCCGTCCGTTGACAGCACGCCGGTCACCTCGTCAACTGTCACCCGCGACTGGGACGAGTTGGACAGGATCGCAAAAGTCCGCGGCGTAGCGGCGCCCACCACTCCCAAGTCCCGCGCCAGGTTCCCGATATAAGTGTTCGGCGGCTCTTCCTCCAATACCGAGTATCTCACCTCAGTCCCGCTGACACACACCGTGAGAACGCACAGCACGAAAAACCACAGACTTAACGTCCGTACTGGGGCCATTGTGGTCTTCTAAGATAAAAACAACACTTTCACTCGGTCAGAATAACACGATTTTTGCGGACACAGATTTTTAGTCCGTTTCTTCTCAAAACAAAGTGGCCAGCTGGAGCCGTCCCTTCTGTAAACAGACGAGCCTCCCGCTACAATAGCTCACGTCCGAGGAGTAAATCTTCAATAAGCTTTCCGTAACGCGAACCTACAAGCCAATGCTAGCTCTGAATGAAACTGTTTCTCCGCACATCCAAAGCGTTACATACATGCCTTACTGAGCGTTTTGAAAAAGCGGCCGTGTGTATAAGGAAAGCAGGCGAGCCCGGACCTACCGACAACCGTTTCAATCCGTTCCACACAGATAGCGTTTCCACTGTGCTGAGTACTGATAACGACAGTGCTGAATGGGGAGGCAATCTATCTCACCGTGTACTCCTGTCCCACTGGTATGTGGCCGCTGGCGAGAAGTGCACACACATATCCTCACATCTGACTCACGGGCCCGGTAGAGAGAAAAAAAGCGGCTCGGTTTTTAATGTCGTGGCTCTTTCCGCGGGCGAAGTTTCAGAAGTGGCCGGCTTCCAACCTTTGGTACACAAACCGACTGTAGAAGATAGAAATTACAGAGAAGAAATCCACACGCGTGGTTCAACGATATCTCCTTGAAGAAAAAAACGCACACGCCTTGAAGAAATCTTCACACACGAACCCGATCTCCAAGAAAGAAGTCCGACAGATGATGGCAACGTTATGTCTCCTCCTAGAAGAAAAGTCCTCGAAGAAATCCTTGTGAACCACGTCGGCGGTAGGTAGTCCTAACGTCTTGTAGCCTGGTGTAAGAAAAACACACATGCACACTCCCAGGCAAGCTCGAGCGAGGAGCGCAGCGGAGACGCGTCCGACTGCTATGAAGTGGTCACGAGAACTGAGCCCTGCTTGGTAGGCGGCGGAACGGGGGGCGGAGCCTGGGGTGTCCCGTGGCCCACGCAGCGTGGAGAGCTGCCTTAATTAAATCTATCTTTCACACGTTGGTTGCTATCCATCACCGCTCTGGGCAGGGCTTTCCCCGAGACTCAAGACAACCGTATGCAAACCGTCCCGGGGCATTACATCTACAGACAAGACCACTGCGCAAGTACAAGGGTGGAGTCGGAGGATCTTATGACTTCAGATTTCGCTTTAAATACGCTTCATAAAGACTGATCTGTGTCATAATTAAGTGTCGGGGCGCTGCCCTAGCGAGACACTAATTGAGTCCTAAAATCTGATACGGGCACGATCTTTATTTTCAGGTCAATATCTATACGCTGAGCTTTGTAGTGCTGAAGATCAGTGATTATTGGGCCGATGCATTTTCCAGATGGGGGTATCGAAAAAGGTGCTATGCGGTTTTCATACTCATTTGCTGTAGGTAACAACCTGCTGCAGTGTGAGTGGTCCCTAGAGGGCGCTTCTAACATCACACGCGGTGGGTTGAGTGGATTGTTCCGAAGTATCGATCGTACGAATGTGCGCTTTGATCGCCGGAACACGCGTAATACAAGCACGGCTTCGCAATTTGCGGGACATTTGGAGCCCGGCCAGCCGCTGCGCCGATCGTCGGCGGGAAGAGGCTTCAGATCACGCCGAGGGGCGCACGGGTTCAGCCGCGGGACTCTGAAACTCGAGTCTCGGGGTCGTCGAGGGCTGCCGACCGCCATCAGGGCGCGTTCCACACGGACGTGTCTGGCTCGCCTTTTCAATCTTATCTCAACTCCGAAAGTAATTACACTTCATTATCGGCACGGCAGCGGTAAAAACGCGGATAATTAACAATCGCCGGGGCAGAGACGGGAGAGTTTAGGGACCAGCCAGGCGGTTAAAGATGCCTCTAGCCGCGCGGCTTGCCGACGCACGGTCCGCTGATCACCTCGGGTTTCCCTTACTTGTTAGCCTCGGTGCCAGACTCTTGCGATGGCTGCAGCCCAACAAGCCCACAAGCCTAGGCCATTGCTAACTGAGGCGTTGGCCGGTGTAGTGCATGGCTCTGGCAACAGTCTGGCGTCCAGGCTACCATGAGCAAGGAAGTTTTAACCCTAGACCCTGAGCAACAATTCAAGGGCGCTGTGGTGAACTTACCACAGGGGCACGTTGGCCCAGGAGCCGAAGAGCTTGCCTGTACCTGGCCCCTGAAACAGCCTGGCACCCAGGCTAGGCCTCTCTTTGCTCTCTGCTTGTTCAGACTCTCGACAAAGTTTGCACTCCAGCGGCGCGTGGTCTGAGTAAACCGAGCTGTGAACGCGATCCAACTTGAGTCCCCAAAAAAAGAACACAAGAGAGCGAGCGGCGGGGTCTTGGCTTTTGGCAGTGAGGTCGACAGAATGTTGGCTGAGAGAAATTTTGTTTGAAAATCAACCCGTCTGTAGAGTCTGTGCGCTTCTAAAGTCGGTGATAAAAAGGGACAGGGTCCTGGCTTCAGGCTAAAGGAGCGACGGGATGTGAGATGGAAAATTTGTCCGAAAATTGAACCCTGTGTGCCTCCGATATCAAAAACCAAAGGGCCATCCATAGACGACAGAAGTTGCTACAATCATTGACTTTCGCCTAAGGCTTCGTCAGTATAGCGATCTTAGCGATTAAATTTGTCTGAAGATTAACCTGTATACGCTTCTTAAGTTCAGAGATCAATAAGGAAAAGACTAAAATCGCGATAAGCCCTAAGCCTTGGCTTTTTGTACTGAAGGTCGGCTAGAAATTTGTCTGAAAATTGAACCCAGTGTACTCCTAAGATGAAACAAACATGAGAACACGCGGCACGGTCTTAGCTCTAGGCAACGGAACCGATGCTGCGATGTCGGCATGATGAAGATTCGTTTGCCTCTCAGATCTCTTAAGATCAAACTGAGCACACTCGAGCTCCGCCACGAATGACTCAATGGTTTACCAATTGTGCACAATATGTCATAAAACACGAACATGTATTGCAAATAAAATACGAACGACGCCTACATTTTACAACATGACTTGAGTCTAGTTCTATACGTAACAAAAAGAAAACTTTTGTGTGGATACAAGAACTGATCTAAAACGGTACTTTAAGGTTATAAATCTAGTCTGTTCCCACTCTGATTTTTGTAAGCGAACTGAATATCTTGTATCTGTTAGTCCAGTGAATTCTGAGCTTCTGAGAGTGCCTTGTACTTCTGCCGAGCAGCTCCAGGAAGGAGTTCAGGGTTGAATCTGCTTGTACATCGCCGCCTGGAAGCTTGAAAGCGTTTTTCCAGACGACCAGAGGCAGCCAAGTCATTCTTATATACCGTGGCGCGGAAAATTTACGGCGCGGACGGAACCCAGAGAGCGCGTCGGTCTGACCCTCGCCCCGTGCCCCCCGACTTCACTTGATATTAGGCTAACGCTCTGGAAGCCTCCGGAACACAACAAGCGATAAAAGCGGCATTTTTCATACACTTCGTCCTGATCTGTCTATAAATATTTATCGGCGATCCTTGGCACAAAGCGCGCGAGTGGAAAAATGAAAGGACAAGAAAGGCTTAGTAGCGTAGCGCTAGTCTCGGGCGGCGGCCCACTGCCGAGTGATCTGTCTCCGTTGTATTGTGTCGTCCGCCGTGCGGGAAAAAAGCCTGTCTGGCCGCGCTGAGTATGACTGATGCTTTGCTTATGCTGGGAACACTCTTGTCTGGACGGCGGGCCCGCTCGGCGGATCTATACGTGCACATTATCGTCATCCCGGGCCGCTGTAATAACAGGCGAGCAGGCCGACACAGGGTCAGCAGGCCGCGAACGTGGGAGAAACGGATCTCCAAGCAGATATTTGATGGCTGCAAGACAGAATCAAGTGTCCTTGGCAGGGCAGTATTCCAATACGACGCCGCTGGTGAAAAACAAGATACCCGTACAAAAGAGAAATCCCGTAAAATGATAAGCTATGCTCATCTACTGATTTACATGAACATGTCGGGAGTGTTACGCAGCAGAGGTCTTGGCGATAAATTCATCCATGGCAAAAAAATCCCCCCGAATCTCCAAGCAGATGTTAGGATTTTCCATGGTATCCTTGTTTCGGCAGCCATGATAGGTTTGGATTAGCCTCTACCAGGCTTCAGGGGCAACTGGAAAGATCTAGAGTGGAAATTGGCCAAATGGACAGATAACTTGTCAGGGGTTGGTCCGGTCATAGCCGCAAACTGTACTCCTTTAGAGGAATTTGGTCAGTGTGTAAGCCTGATAGAGCTAGTGTGGATCCCAGGCTAGCGGTGTGCTGTCATGCTGTGCCCTGAATGATTCCCATCATTACCAAAGGGAAAAGATAACAGACCAGTCCTAACCTTTTAAGAGACCCCACGTTTAATTGTCCCCTGCAATTATCAAAGAAAAGGTTGATGAAATGATCGCATGCGGAGGCATCTAAACCGGTGAATGAAATCATTCTTTCGGCACAAAGTTGATCAAAACTGTAGGCAGACACTCTGAGGGGAAAGAGGGGCAAACAAAAGACTCGGTCTCGCGATGTCCAGTCAGGCAGAAATGTCCGGCTCCGAGGAGTCTATGTGGTTAGACTCATCACAGGATCCGTGGCGCGTCAGATTAGATTAATAGTCAGTTTGTATTTGGGCAAAAAAACACAGAAAAATTTAACGAGGCATTACGTAGCATTTTTGCATCAAAAGTGAAACATTTCAATTGATCAATCGTAGTGATTGTGAAGTACTTCCACGTATTTGCGCAATTATCTCATAATGTAACATTCGTGATTGGCGCTTAAACAGCCCACACGAGGCGCACCCAGTTTGTGGTACCACCACAAAATACCAGAATGTAAACAAACATGACTAACAGTGGCGAGCTTCATTTGTCGTTGGTATTTCCGCTAGATATGGTCTCAAGGTGCTGTCGCTTCCAGGTGCTTCAGATTTTCTGTCGGTTTGAGGCCGCGCGTTTTATCTACTAGAATGAACAAGTATCCGATGGCAGACTAAATCCTGTCAGACAGCGTGCAGAATCTAATTGTATCTCATCCCGAATCTTCAAGCAGATGTTAGTTCTAACTCATTTGTAACGCCACAAAGAAAGAAAGAAACACCCGAAATGCCGTTGGATTATTTCCGATCCCCGCAAAAAATCAGTTTATGGCACAGAGCTACAACGTTACAAAGGGAGCTACAACGTTACAAAACGAACCTCTACATTACAAAGCGAGCTACAACGTTACAAATTAAGCGAGCTGCAAATTGTACCGTGACGAGCTACAAGTTGTAAAGCGAGCTACAACGTTACAAAGTGAACTACAACGTTACAGAGCGACCGTCAACGTTACAAAACGAACTACAACGTTAGACAGTGACATACAGCGTTACAAAGCGACCTACAACGTTACAAAGCGACCTACAACGTTACAAAGCGACCGTCAACGTTACAAAGCCAACTACAACGTTACAAAGCGACCTACAACGTTACAAAGCGACATACAGCGTTACAAAGCGACCTACAACGTTACAAAGCGACCTACAACGTTACAAAGCGACCGTCAACGTTACAAAGCCAACTACAACGTTACAAAGCGACCTACAACGTTACAAAGCGAGGTCCAACATTACAAAGCGAGTTACGTACAACATTACAAAAGGAAATCTACTACTCGTACTATCTAATCGCGCTCCTATAAACCAGTTCGAAGTCTTGGAAAGGCTCCCACGCTAAATTCCGGGCACTTCGTTTCGTTGCCAGGCGACCACACGGAATCCCGGTCAGACTCCGATCCCAGCTGATACCGGCGCTGACAGAGAAATCACGCGCGATAAATTTGCAGCTTCGCTACACTCGATCAGCTTTACTCCGCAATAATTCTAATGGATGCAATGCATGGCAAGTTGGTACATTAGTGCGGGATTGACGTAAGCAATTTAGATGTGTTAGATGTTTTTGATAGAACTTTGACTCGCCATACAGAATCACTTTTTAATGCGTTCTAGAT